AATCCGGATTAAGTGTCCTTGACCCAGGATTAAGGCTTAATCCGGATTATGGCTTTATCCGGATTAAGGGCCACTTAATCCGGATTAAGGGACACTTAATCCGGATTAAGGGACACATAATCCGGATTAAGGGTCCTTGACCCAGGTTTAAGGCTTAATCCGGATTAAGGGCCACTTAATCCGGATTAACACTAGAACGCCGAAGGCAGTCATTTTGACCGCTTTCCAATTTCAAGTACAAAAACACTTAATCCGGATTAAGGGACACATAATCCGGATTAAGGGTCCTTGACCCAGGTTTAAGGCTTAATCCGGATTAAGGGCCACTTAATCCGGATTAAGGGACACTTAATCCGGATTAAGGGACACATAATCCGGACTAAGGGACACTTAATCCGGATTAAGGGTCATTGACCTAGGTTTAAGGCTTAATCCGGATTAAGGCATAATCCGGTTTCGATTCGGGGTCAATGACCCTTAATCCGTATTAAGCCTTAATCCGGATTAAGGGCCACTTAATCCGGGTTAAGTGTCCTTGACCCAGGAATAAGGCTTAATCCGGATTATGGCTTTATCCTGATTAAGGGCCACAATGGTCCTTGACCCAGGTTTAAGGCTTAATCCGGTTTAAGGCTTAATCCGGATTAAAGCATAATCCGGATTAAGGGCCACTTAATCCGGATTAAGGGCCACTTAATCCGGATAAAGGGCCACTTAATCCGGATTAACACTAGAACGCCGAAGGCAGTCATTTTGACCGCTTTCCAATTTCAAGTACAAAAGCAACTGTGCATTTAATGACACTTTTTTAAAATTTGGTGAATTTTTTATAATAAACGTAGTTCTATGAGGTACAAAAGTCACCATATTTTAAAAAAAAGTGTCATTAAATGCACAGTTGCTTTTGTACTTGAAATGGGAAAGCGGTCAAAATGACTGCCTTCGGCGTTCTAGTGTTAAGGGACACTTAATCCGGATTATGTCTTAATCCGGATTAAGGGATTATCCGGATTAAGCCTTAATCCGGATTAAGCCTTAAACCTGGGTCAAGGACCCTTAATCCGGATTAAGTGTCCCTTAATCCTGGGTCAAGGACCCTTAATCTATAAGATATATAAGGACTTTGGTGCACCATTTACTTTAAATCGAACGAAACTATATATCGAGCTATATTCGGAGAAAGTGATTCTATGCATATCCTCAAAACGGACCATGACTATTTAGTACAATTTACCTTGTTTTTTTTTTGTACCACGGTTATTGATAACTTAAAAATAATAACTTTAAAAATTTAAGAAAATTATATTAGGTTTGGGAAACAGAAATCCATTATTTTTTCGGCAAATGGCTGTACTGATTGATTTCTCGTAAATTATTGATCGAACAATTTCAGATTTATTCTCGTTGGAAGGGTGACATTTCGCAGTAAACAAAAATTATTTTGCTGTTTTTTTGTTTGGTGCATTCAGTTGTGAGTTACTACTTATTTACTTAGCAGGCTTGTTGCAGAACGGTTGTTCCATAAGCCAAGCTTAAAAAAGATTTCCAAGCGCGTCGTTCTTGTGCCCATCTCCTCCAATTTGAAAGGCCACGTTCCAAGATGTTGTTTTCTACTTGGTCTTTCCATGTAATTCGTTGCCTTCCCCTTCTACAGAAACCATCAGTAGGCTCGCTTTTACATGCTTTTTGAGCTGGGGCATTCTCATTCATTCGCATAACATACCCTAGCCACTGTAGTCGCTCAATACGACTGACTATGTCGATGTCCGCCTATAAATTTTAGAGCTCGTGGTTCATTCGACGCCGATATTCACTGTCGACGCATCGGCACGTAGATCTTTCGGAGAATTTTTCTTTCAAACACTCCAAGAGCTGCCTCATCTGCTTGCGCAAGTACCCATGCTTCAGATCCATATAACAACACGGGTAGTATCAGCGTCTTGTAAAGTGTGAGTTTGGTCTGGCGGGAGGTGGCCTTGTTTCTAAACTGCTTACTTTGACCATAGTTGCATCTGTTGGTCATCACAATCCTTCTCCGAATTTCAGAACTGATGTATATAAAATCTTTAACTACCTCGAAGCTGTAGTTCTCAAGTTCCACAGTTAGTCCGAGTCTACTGGACGTCTTGCGCGTTGATACCATCAGCTTGGTCTTCTCGCTGTTTACTGACAGACCCACTTTGGCAGACTCCTTCTCAATTTTTTCAAAGGTGGCTGTTACCGCTCGCAAAGTTCGACCCATTACATCGATGTCATCGGCGTAGGCGAGTAACATGTGTTGTTTGGTGTACAGAGTGCCATTTCTGTTCCCTTTTGCGTCTCGCATGACCTTTTCCAGCAGGATGTTAAAAAGATCACAACTGGCACCTTGTCTGAATCCTCGTACGCTATTGAATGGCTCCGATAGGTTCTTTTCGACTTTAATTGCTGACCTTGTGCCACATAAAGTTATCCTGCATAGCCGTATTAATTTTGCAGGAATGCCGAACGTAGGCATGGCTTTAAATACCTCTGAACGGATAGGGCGGCTTTATAGTCGACGAATAGGTAAAATGTGTCGATGTGTTTTTCGTGGGTCTTTTCCAGGATTTAGCGCAAAGTGAAAATGTGGTTAATGGTGGATTTGCTAGGTCTGAAGCCGCATTGGTATGGTCCAATAATGTCATTGACCATTGGCTTCAATCGTTCACACAGCACACTGGATAGCACTTTATATGCGATGGGAAGAAGGCTAACTCCTCTATAGTTGGCACATATCGTCTTGTCTCCTTTTTTGTGAACGGGACACAGGATGCTGAAGTTCCAATCATTGGGCATGCATTCCTCTAGCCTAATTGTACTAATCAGCTGGTGCATGCTCCTGTCCAGCATCTGATCACCAGTCTTGAATAGTTCGGCTCGTAACCCATGGGCTCCTGCTGCTTTATTGTTCTTCAGCCGATTAATTGCTATTCTGACCTCATCCTGGCTAGGTGCTATACATTATATACCGTCATCTCTTATTGGTTCTGGGGTATCTTCTTCACCGCCACTATTTGATACCTGAAGCTTTTCAAAATGTTCCTTCCAGATCCTCAACACACTGTCTGTATCTGTCACCAGGTTTCCTTCTTCATCTCTACAGGAGGATGTGCCTGCACCAAAACCTTCGGTTTGTTGTTTTATTCGTTGATACAATTTTCGGACTTCATTCTGACTCCTGTACATCTCGATTTGCTCACGCTCACGTTTTTCTTGTTCTTTCTTCTTTTTTCTGAAAACACGTTTCTCCTCTCTCCTTTTCTCCTGATAATTCTTCATTACGTTACGTGTTGCTATTGTCTGCAGGGTTTCCCTATACGCTGCATTTTTCACATCAGTAGCATTACGACACTCCTGATCGTACCATGGGTTTCTTGGTGGTGGTTTTTGGTACACAAGTGTTGCCTTTGCTGCAGTTTGTAGGAAGTGGGCAATTCTTTGCCATTTAGCTTCTACACTATTATCGGAACACGAAGTGCTTTCGTCGAGCAGGTGGGTAAGTTGAGGCCTCGGCAACCTGTTCTGTTTGCAGCTTCTCGACGTCTAGTTTCCGTGTTGTGTTCGATCGCACCTTTGATGCAACATTAGGACGAGTGCGAACCTTTGCTGCCACAAAGTAATGGTCCGAATCGATATTCGCTCCTCGGATCGATCGAACGTCTAATACACTGAATGAATGCAACATGACTAATTTGATTTCTCGTTGTTTGATCAGGAGAAATCCAGGTGGCCTTGTGTATATCGATATGCTTGAATCTGGTGCTGCTAACTACCATGTTTTTTGCTGTCGCGAAGTCAATCAACCTCATGCCGTTGTCGGATGTTTCTTCATGAAGGCTGAATTTTCCGACGGTGGGGCAAAAGATATTTTCCCTTCCGATTTTTGCATTAAAATCTCCTAGCAGAATTTTAATGTCATGGCCAGGGCAACGGTCATATGCTGTTTCTAGGCGCTCGTAAAATATGTCATTGGTCTGATCATCTTTGTCTTCGGTCGGAGCATGGGCGCAAATAAGACTGATGTAGAAGATTATAGCAATTCGCTCATCTACTGGAGTGAATCTGGAGAGGAGGTCTTTTATTCTCCTCTTATACATAAATCCGCAGCCAAATTCATGTCTCGTTTCATGACAGCTTTAATACAGAGCGTAATCGTCTGATTTACTTACGCCTGTCCCTTTCTATCGCATTTCCTGTAAAGCAATAATATCGGCTTTGTACTTCTTGAGTACATCCGCCAAAGCGAGAACTGCCCCTGTCCTGTACAACGTGCGCACATTCCAAGTGCAGATTCTTTGCTTTTTCCTAGTAGGGAAACCCCGAGTGTGGGCAACAAACCCGACGCCTCAACCCATTTTAGTCCCGCCTTCAACCAAATTGCTGTAAATTGGAATTTTGGTCCACTATTTGGGGTTGCCTCCATACAAGGTTCAATTTATTTGATTTTCAAATTTGATTTCACATTTGTAATCGGTGGCTAAGTTCTACAAAATGTGCTCAAAAATAATTTGATTAATTAAATTTTGAAAAAAATCGTGATTAGCCCTTATATGTGATATTTGTTTATATCATAAACCCTCTGCTTTATTACATAGCGTACCGAACTGATCCTAGAATTACGGTTATGTTTTGTTCATTATCAAGTTTAGAAGCACCTCTTGTATATATCCATACCCAAAACGGGTAACATTTTAATACTTTCACATTTTTTTTTTCAAAACTCTCTGATCTGTTTTTTTTTTACTTTCATAAATTGAACTTCTAAAAAAATTTCTTTCTGTGTACTTATCACCATTTCCCTCTTGTGCCGATTAAAGCTGATAACCCCCAGGTTAAACCACAAATGATTCAAAACAATACAGTGAATAGTGATGAACTAAATTTTAAGTTAATCTCGACACAGACGTCTAGCCGAACACAACAAAATCATTCAATAATTACCACCCAATTACAAATTTCAAATAAGAAAACTAAAAAAAATGTTCAAAGAAAATGAAATAAATTTCTATGAAAATGAAATCGATTTGAAACAAGTGATAGAGGAACAGAAACTCGAAACAGCTGACGAGGCTTTATTCGTATGCGATTTGACTCGATTGAAAGAGAAATATGATATGTGGACCAAATATATGCCAAGGGTTAAGCCCTATTATGGTAAGTGTGAATTCGGAAGTTGGATAATTTAGGTTAACAAGTTTTTGTATTGCTGATCCCTTTATAGCTGTCAAATGCAATGATGATGGATTTATTGTCAAGACTTTAGCAGAACTGGGCACTAACTTCGATTGCGCTTCGAAAGGTGAAATAAAACAAGTTTTGGATTTAGGTGTCCATCCTGATCGGATTATATTCGCCCAGCCTTGCAAACCCGTGTCACATTTGGAATATGCCAAGCAAATGGGGGTTATGACCAGTACCGTCGATACGGAATTTGAAATTCATAAGCTGCACAAACATTATCCGGAATCAAAGTAAGTATGGACTTTAATTTATACTTTCTCAAAATGCAGATTTTTTTATAAAAAATAGCTAGGGCCCTAGGACGCCAGAGAATAATTTTTTATCTATAGACAAATATTTCACAGACATTCTGAGGATTTTTTTCAATAGAAAAAAATTCAAACCTCATAACGATTATTTTTCTCCTCCTCAGGCCTCCCTGAAAATTATTTTTTATAAAAAAAAACTCCTCAGGCCTTTCTGAGGATTCCTTTTTCTATACAAAAAATTCCTCAGGCCTCAGGATTTTTTCAGGACCTTTTTTCCATAGAAGAAAATTCCTGAGGATAATTTTTTGCTGTAAAAAAATCTTCAGGCTTCCCTGGGGATTATTTTTTGCTGTAGAAACAAATTCCTCAGGCCCTTCTGAGGATTCCTCAGGCTCCTCTGAGGATCTCTTTTTTGCTATAGAAAAAAATTCTTCAAGTCTTTCTGAGGATTATTTTTTGCTGTAGAAACAATTCTTCAGGCCCTTCTGAGGATTCTTTATTGCCGTAGAAAAAAAAAATCCTCAGGTCCATTTGAGGATACTTTTTTCTATAGAAAAAAAATTCATCAGACCTCAGTTAGAGGTTTGAGGACACTTTTTTCTATAGAAAAAAATCCTCGGGTTCATCGGGGATTCTTTTTTCTATAGAAAAAAATTCCTCAGGCCCCTCTGAGGAATATTTTTTCTGAAAAAAATTCCTCCGGATTCCTTTTTTATATAAAAAAATAATATGCTCATTTTCAAATAATGATAATAAAACTTGTATTTTATTTCTAGCTTGGTCATCCGCTTCCGTTGTGAGGCCAAGGATGCCCAATGTCCTCTGGGTGATAAATTTGGTTGCGATGCAGAAAATGAGGCCACTTCTTTAATGCTCTTGGCAAAGAGCTTAAACCTAAAGGTAAGTAGTGGATTTTCAAAATTTTTAGAGGAAAAATTGAAATCGGAAACTCTAATTCCAGGTTATTGGCACCAGTTTTCATGTGGGTTCCGGTTGTAATGATTTACCAGCCTATGATCGAGCCATTACGATTGCCAAAAATCTTTTCAAGTTCGGTTCCTTGTTGGGCTATGAAATGAATCTGCTTGATATTGGTGGTGGTTTTCCGGGCAGTGATAATCAGAAATTCGAAAAGGTCTGTTGCTAAGTTTGGTTCTGCTATCAATTTTGTTTCTAAAATTGTTGTTGTTTCGTTTTTGTAGATTGCCGAGATTGTTAACAAATCATTGATGCGTCATTTTCCCGATGATAAGGTTAATATTATTGCCGAGCCGGGTAGATTTTTTGTCGCCTCCGCATATACTTTGATCTGTAAGATTCATGCCAAGCGTGAAGCCCGTTTGCCGAATGGAAAGCTCTTAACGAAAATGTATTATCTGAATGATGGGGTATATGGGTCGTTCAATTGCATTCTGTATGATCATCAACATGCTGAGGTGCAACATTTTGTGGTGAGTAGTAGGATTCGAAAGGGATATACCAAATGTATCCATAAAAAATGGATCCCCAAAGCACTACCTTTTGGTGTGGGACATTTAAATTTGTCGAGTTTCAGTTTTTTTCTTTCCTTGCTGCAAAAAGCATCTTCAGTTGAAAAGCTCTTTGTTAGTGTAGAAGTACACTTCAGGTCACTTTTGAAAACTCTTGAGTACTCTGAAGGATACTTTTGTTGCAAAAGTGTGAGCGCGTTTAAGTGACTCTTAAGGGGGGACTTTTTGTGTGTGGTAGTGTTGCTTTGTTATGGGGATTTTTTATAAAACAAAGGAGACTTTTCTTTAATTTTAACACATTTTTAACTTTATTATTTATTTATTTATTTTAGGATGAAGAAAATGCTGAAGTACCGAAATTCAATTCCTTAATATGGGGTCCAACATGTGATGCATTGGATAAGGTATGAATAATTTTTTTTAATATTAAATTAAATAATTAGGAATGCAAATGTGTCTTGTTTTAGATTGCCGAAGATTTACAATTGCCCGACTTGAAATGTGGTGACTTTTTGGCATTCCCCAATATGGGTGCCTACACAATACCCATAGCCAGTCCATTTAATGGTTTTATGTTGCCAAAGATTTTGTATTTCCATAAAGCAAAAATTTGACTAATATTGGAAAAGATTAAAGAAATATTTTATTTTAAGATTGAAGAAGAAAAGAAGAATTGGTTTTATTTCACGAATGAATTTAGAGATGTTCTAGAATGTCTAGATCAGAATTATCGTTGGTTGGGAAATTTCTTTTTTATGGGAGTGAATGTATATTACGAACCTAGAAGGACAAATTCGCCGTTGGTCAAGTTTTGGCGTGCTACTTTTTCAGGTGAGGATATGTTCCAAATTTCGAAATTTTGTGATTCTCGCACGAATTCCAATCAAATTGGCTGAGATTTTATATTTAACTAGCATATGCCCGCTACTTTGTTAGCGAACATGCGAATTATTAAAACATGTCAAAATATATTTATATATTTTTGTTATTTGAATTTTTGTGATCATTTTGAAAGTGATTTTAAGTGATTATTTAAACTCTTTCGAGTCGAGCTTGATGATCTAAATTTTGCAATGAAAAGGAAAGCCAGGAGAAGAACCTACGTACCCACCATTATGCGACGCGTTTCGCCGTTGGTTAAGCGGCTCATCAAGCATATTGGGCTATGTGGCTTTACAAAGGTCGTACGTTGATAACTTGTATTTATTCCGCCCTGATGCGAAACTTGCATATGCGAATTAAATTCAAATTTGTCAAAGTTCGACATTTGTCTTCATTCTAGGAACAGTCCTTTTCAAAGCAGATTTTTGTTGTAGCGATGGATAATTAATCCACACATCTACAATTGCTTCCATGGTATACACATGTTTTTGCGCAACCGTTTTGGAAGTGTGTTGATGGCTCAGAACGTTAAGTTGTCTGGCAACATTTGTGTTGCTCCGAGGACCTAGTTTCGAGCCCTAGCCGTGCTCGGCTGAAATTAATTTTTGTTATTTGAATTTTTGTGATCATTTTGAAAGTGATTTTAAGTGATTATTTATACTCTTTCGAGTCGAGCTTGATGATCTAAATTTTGCAATGAAAAGGAAAGCCAGAAGAAGAACCTACGTACCCTTTTCATTGCAAAATTTAGATCATCATAATATATATATATATATATATTCACAGAAATAGCCCATCAACCTACACAGCAATATCGACCATTTTAGTACCATTTAGTTCTCTTAAAGTATGTATTTCCAAAACTTCCTCCATATGACCGCAACAGAAATCTAGCTTTATACTAAAGTTGGTACGATTTATTGGATACATGGGTCAGAAGCATGGGTACTTGCGCAAGCAGATGAGGCAGCGCTTGGGGTGTTTGCGAGAAAAATTCTCCGAAAGATCTACGGGCCGATCTGCGTCGACGGTGAATATCGGCGTCGAATGAACCACGAGCTCTACAATTTATACGCGGACATCGACATAGTCAGTCGTATTGAGCTGCAGCGACTACGGTGGCTAGGCCATGTTGTGCGGATGAATGAAGATACCCCAGCTCAAAAGGCATATAAAAATGAGCCTACTGATGGTTCCCGTAGAAGGGGAAGGCCACGAATTAGATGGAAAGACCAAGTAGAAAACAATATCTTGGAACGTGGTCTTCAAAATTGGTGGGCTTGCGCACAAGACCGACGGGCTTGGAAATCTTTATTAAGCTCGGCTTATGGAACAACCGTTCTGTAACAAGCCAGCTAAGAAAGAAGAAAGAAGGTACGATTTATTACTTTTCGTACTGTTGTAGTACTTATTTTCAAAACTAATTTCACATTTTATGATTTGAGCTCGATAGGTTTACCCTAATCCACATTCACCAAATTTAAAACCCATTAATGTAATAGAAGTCTTATTTCTTAATTTAAGGATTCCAGTCATATCGCTTGACTCAAATCCAAATTGTACCAAAGTTAGTATCATTTATTACACATTATTACGAATTTCCACAACTTCCTACATACCTCAACTGCGAGTCTGACTCCAAATTTCAGGATTATAGTCCTATCGTTTCACCAACAATTCAAAAACTTCCAAAACTTCCTATATACCCCAATCTTACACCCCCTCAGTGATCCTAACTCCAAATTACAGTATTCCAACTTTATTGGTTCACCCTAAATTTAAATTATTCCCAATTTCCAGATCAATCGGTTCAACCAAATCCAATGATCTGCACCCCAACAGTGACCCTAACTCCAAATTTCAAGATTCCAGCTCTATCAGTTCACCCAAATTTCAAATTCTTCCAAATACACATGAGTACGAATTCACAAAACTACCAACATCCCTCAATTCTACACTCCAACAGAAATCATAATTTCAAAATGTTTACTACTTCAGCTCTAAATGAAAATTGTATAAAATTTAGTACCATTTAGTGGCCATAAGTACAAATTTCCAAAATTAAATTCATATCCCAAATCTGCCACTCCAACAATAATCTTATTTCCAAATTTCAGTGTTCCAACTCTATCGGTTCATCTAAATCCAAATTGTACCAAATTTAGTACTATTTATTACACATTAGTAGAAATTTCCAAAACATCCTACGTACCCCACAGTAATCCTAACTCAAAATTTCAGGGTTCTATCTCTATTGGTTTATCCAAAATTCAAATTGTACCAAATTTAGTACACATAATTACGGATTTTCGCAACTATTAACATACCTCTTTTAGTTGTAGTAGTTTTATTTAGTAGTAATATTATATCCGAAGTTCATTGTTCCAGCTCTATCGGTTTACTAAAATCCAAATTTTACGAAGTATAGTACCATCAGTTTTTAAATCCAAATTCTACCAAGTATAGTACCATTTAGTACATTTTGTACACATAGTACAAATTTCCAAAACTACATATCGCTATCCTACACTCCGACGGTAATGTTAATTTCAAATTTCAGGATTCCAGCTTAATCCGTTTCTCTAAATTCAAATTGTACAAAATATAGTACAGTTTAGTACTTTTCGTATACATGAGTACACGCTTCAAAACCACCTCCTTACTTACTACGACCCTACTTCTCAATCTTAATTCGCATTCCAAATTTCGAGTTTTTAGCTCTACCATTCACATACTACGAAATTGTACAAAATTTAGTACTTTTCGGATACTTATAGTTCGAATGCCCAAATCCTTTGCTACATCTATTCTACACTCCATCAGTGACCCTCATTTCAAATTTAAGAGTTCTAGCTCTACCGGTTCGCCAAATACAAATGGTACAACATTAAGCGCTTTTTAGTACTTTTCGTTCCGTTCTGGTACGAATTTAAAAAAACTTAGCCTTATCTAACACCTTTGGACCATCTCACCCCAAATTTCATATTCAACTTCAGTCGTTTCGTCTGGGCGTTTGTGAATCGTTAAGGCAGTCAATCAGTCAGTAAGTTAGTCAAACACTTTACGTTTTCATTAGTATAGATGTCCAGTCAGGTCCTGGCGGTCATAGACTAATTACGGAATTAATTTTGCATTCTGGAACCTTGTTGGATAAAGAAATGTTTTTTACAATATAAGTCCATATTTATACATATCCCCCATAAATATTGTTACGAACTTAACGACGTTTTTACTTGTTTTCGATACGCCATTGTATTCGAAATATAACGGATAGGCTTTTCTTGTCAGTGACATATTATTATTTGTATACCCTCCACCATAACTATTCGAAATAATCATGTCCGACCCTATAAAGTATATATATTCTTCATCAGCGTATTCTATGACGATATAGCCATGTCCGTCTGTCTGTTGTAATCACTCTAGCGTCTAAACGAGTTGAGATAGATCGCCAAAATTTAGCATAGAGTCGTCTTTTGTCTGCAGGCAGGTCAAGTTCGATGATGGTCCAGGTTTAGGCATAGCTCCCATATAAGGGTACCACCCAAATATTCGGTATTTTGGGGTTCTTGAGCGCGTTTTTCAACGGAATTCGCTGAAATTTGCAACATTGGTTTCTTAATGTCTCCACAAAAAATTATAAACCACTTTTTCTTGTAGCCCCCATATAACGGTACTTCCTAATTGGCAGTATTTTGGGGCTTTCGATCCTATTTATCCGCCGAATTAGCTGTAATTTAGTATTTTGAATTCTTAATAGGTAGCAAATCTCTCCACAAAATAGCCCCCATATAAGGGTACCCCCAATTTTCGGTATTTTGGGGTTCTTGAGCGCGTTATTCAACCGAATTTGCTGCAATTTGGTATTTTGTAGTCGTATATGGAAACAAATCTCCTTACCAAAAATTATTAATATTCGCCTCCCTTATTGGGGTAGTCCCCATATAACCCCCTTTTTTATATTTTATGTTAAAATAGTTATTTGATTTGTCCCGCGTTTTGAGTTTGGTTCTAAGACTCTGTTGTAATCATTTCACCTGCGGAGGATAGCGAGATAAAATATTGTAACGTAAGGTTCGAACTATAGATGCATTTAGACCTAGCCCCTGTGTGGAGGTTCCAGAAGGAGTGGATCAATACTTCGATGAGACACATTTTCACCGTGTTAAAGTGTATAACCCTCATTTGCCATTAGGCTGACGGTATAATTATCCATTAAAAATTTCTGAAATTTGTACAATGGTTTACATTATGGATTACATAATCCGTTTTTAGAAATGTCGATATAGGTCAACTTTTTGGTATGTTCCCTATATTTTCATTTCTATTACATGTCAGTACTTAACGCTTTTTCACTTGTTTTTATTTTTTTTTTCTCTATTCATAATAATCGTTCAATATTTAGCGGTTTAAATGGATCCCGGCTTTTGTGTGAAAAATGCAAAATTTGATCTCTAATCGTTCAAGAGAGTGCAAATATAGAAAAATATTATCCAGGCCCGGAATACAGATCCGCAGAAATGGTAGTTGTGTAGCGTATCACATGGTCGCACCCTCCGATTATACTGCACCACTCACGGTTTTTTATCTTTTGTTAAAAATTTCATTACAAAAAATGTTATACTCCCATCCCACTTGAAACAAATCGAAATATTTAGGTTACCAAAGAGTTCTCTTCATTGAGAATTTCGTTGGTTCTTTTACGTCCCGGGTAACAGGCAATTGTAAGCAGATGTCATATTTTT